TGCTCACAGTGAAGCCAAATGAAACTCTGGATTTGTTGGGTTTCTTCTTATAATATTGCAGGGACTTCACCTTACTATGGGAAGGGCCTTAAGATGACTTGTAATTTGAATTGGCTCTATGTAAATAAACCTGACTTTAATTATATGTCAGCTACACTTTCTATAGTGGCCACTACCCCAAACTTGTGGACACCGCTGACCTGGGGAGTGCAGCGCCTGTGAGGTCGGCAACTGCTTTCCAACAGGAAATCCAAATTACAGCTGTAAACAAGACCATGTAGACATCAACAACGCAATTGTCTAATCGTTTGTTGTTGCTACACCCAACTTCAGGCATGCTGATGTTCAAAAAGCATCCATCTAACAAGCAGCTGGTTGTGACAGATGTCATGTGCTTCAGAAACACTTTGACAACATGCAGTATGTCATGTAGCTTCTGGTGTAGCGTCTACACATCTTTTCATTCCTAGCACTGGTGAAACATTGTGAAATACATCAGATGATTGCAGCACTGATGAACTGTTTACCATGATGAAAACTCAGTGACTCATGTACAGCTTCAACAGGTTGGAACGGTGCTGCATGTCAGCACAGGAACGCTCTCAATTGTGATGAAACATGATAGATAGACATTCATTATTTTTGTTGATCTCTTTTGTTGGTCTCATTGCCTCTGTGGCATAGGTTATATCTTCTGCAAATGTGCAAGCAGCTGGGAGTGGTTCCGACAAGCTTACAGCATCTTCCCGATAGCCACCACACCTGACCTCAAGGGAGAAAAACTATCCAATGCTGCAGACACAATCAGGAAGAAATGAAGAGAAAGAAACAGAGGTTTATTATTTCATGGGTGGGGAACATTGGCATTTAAAGGCAGTATTTCCACTTCAGCAAAACATGATCAGTCAAGTCTTGTTTACACATGAACTCTAATGTCATGGCTCCTCTGCATTAAAAAAAAAAAAGCTTTTAGTAAGTGCTGCAGAAAAAAAGAACCAAAAAGTGTCCACAGACACCTAGCAGACAAAGAAGCTTTTCATGGATCCTAGCCAGAAATTGACTGGATGCTTGAAGGAATCACGTGATGGTGTTGTGAGAAGCAAATTCTTTCTTCCATATAATAGATCCCAGTGAGATTAGAACATAGTCAAGACCTTGCAATGTTTTACTGAGCACCAAATGGGAGTCTTTCCATGAAGTAAACATACGGAGCCATTTATGTCTCTCATGCCATAAAGGCGTGGCTCTACATTCATTACATCCTCAGTCCCTGTCAATCACTAATTAAAAAGGCATGTTGGAGCTCCCTCCCAGTCTGCTGCGCACTGAAATGCGGCCTGCTTCGTGTTCCTCAGGGGGGTTTGGAAAGTGGCCACTCCGCAACCACCAGCCCTGCCTCCTCCTCCTCATCCTCCTCATCCTCCTCCTCCTCCTGCCAAAATTACTGGTTCAAAGACTTCCTGACATCTGGTCACCACAGTCAACGCCGGAGGCTCAACGTGAAGATGGACGGGTTACTCTCCGATTGGCCCGGTTCACTGATGTACAGAACATGACAGGGGAAAGCAACATTTAGTCTCTTCAGTAATGAAGCAGTGTGGCATGGAAAACCCACACAACGGACAAATGACACATATAATATAGACATAAGAGCAGAATTAAAAGTCTCAAATGGAAATGAGTGTGTCCTTTGTGTCCATTTTGGCACATAGTTCTAGCTGCTCATGGCTGGATAGAGTTAAACAATAAGCGGCGGATTTGTTTTATACCTCCTTGTGTCCGCAAGGCTCCATAAAAGTACATGTAGCGTACATTTTCTCATCTCCTCTAAGGGCTTCTGTGTACAGCACAATATTTGTGATGGTCTGTACTTCCACATAGCCTCAAAACCTCACATTCTACAGCCAGTGTTATACTTCTTGCTTCTGCAAATACTTGAGGGTGTGTGTGACATACATTTCAGCTTGTCTTGAAGTCCGTAACAGTCTGTGCTGACTCCTCCACACACATTCATGTGCGGCCAGAAAGTTATGTCCATGCACAGCTATGCTACAAGGGCAATAGTGCACATGCTCTGTAGTAGTGTGCATGCACAGAATACCTCAAATGCAACCTCTAGTGTGTGTATGGGATGGAATCCTCCCGGCAGACTCCTACAGACTAGGAAAGTAGAAGAAAGCTTTAATCACATCCAGTTATGGATGTACACACTCCTTGGATGTATAGCTGTTATTACAAAACTTGTCGAAGTTCACGGGATTCCCCTGGAAAGAGGCTACACTGTAAAAAAGTGTATTTGAGCTTTAGCTGAAATAAAATACTGTTTGGAATGAATCTCATTTTTCTTTTCGTTTTGGTGAAAACAGTTCACTTTTGTGGATTCTATCACTTTAAAAGTACATTTTGCCCTTTTAAAGTGGCGTTGAAATTTCAGAAAAAGTGAAAATGATCCTTCAGCATTGTGCGTCTGTCACCCACGCTTTCTCAGATTTGTCTGCTGCAACTGAACATTTTTAAGCTGAATGTGTAAAACTGGAAACTTCAAGTTGATCGTCCTCAAAAGTTGCAGCAACGTTCATTTGAGAGAAATCAAATGATTTAAGCACACCTAACTGAAACTGGTGACATTATTGCGACTCGTCACCTTAACTTAATGCAATTACCAAAATCAACAATTTGCTTTTCTTTTAGTGTGAAGTCTGCAGGGAATCAAATGTAGGGCTGCACACAGACATTAGCTGTGGGGTCTACACTGACTTTTATGGTGAGATGGTGACATTTACTGAACACGCTGGCTAAATAGCAACAACAAGCATCTTTTAACACATCCTAGTGTGTCACTTCAAAATCAAATTTGGTGGGTAAGAAGCAAATTAAGTTATAATACAAAGCCATACATAATCTATAGTAAGTTGTTTTTTTAAAAAAAAACAACAACAAAAAAAGTATATTGAGTTGCACTGTTTCATGTCAGTGATTGAGAAAATATTGATAATCCATATAAATGAGGTAACACTGTTATTACTACGTTATAACATAGAGGCAATGTATTTTATATTTCTACATCAGCACATGACTTAGTGTCTGTAACACTCAGCTCAGTACAATCTGCCCACCAGGAGGGTCAGAGTGCTGCTCTTACACGGTTACTCAACAGGGACGGACTGTGCATTCTAAGCAGATAACGGGAACATAAGGTTTGCTCAGCTCGGCTCGGCTCGGCTCGGCTTGGCTGCTGCTGATCTGCGGGTTTCTTGAGTTTTTGTTGTGTCAAGTCTCTTATCTGCCAACAACATGCTGCAACCAGCCAAATAAGGACGAACGCACATTGATCAGATGTGTGAATTAGTTCTGCGCGCCGCTGAGCTGCTTCAAGACAAGCAGTGAGTCAGAAGCAGGCCGGAAACTGAGGAAATCTGCCTTCAAAATAAAGTTACTTTCTTGGCTTCAACTATAAGCGCTTTATTGCCAACCATGCAAGTGTAATAAATAGGAGGGCAAGCTGAAGTAAATCATTGTTACTACAACACATATTTAATACTGTAATGAATAAAAAATAAAATAAGATACTCTAAGTATTTAAGACAGAACACCTGTCAGATGATGTAAAGCAATAAAAGCTAAAAGACCAGATATTATACAAAGTAGTCCAGTACATTTGTTCTGCTGGTTTTCCCTCATATGGAAATGTTCAACTACGCACATGTAAATAAGGGATTTGTGTTGCACAAAAGCAACGTAAATGTACGTAACAAACAACAAAGATAGAGTTCAAATAAGCCTATTGATGCAAGAATGTAAAATTAAATATTTATGTATGGTTCACTTGTTCACTTTAAACATGCTCGTTTACATATGTCTGCAATTGTACATTGTAATTGAACACTCTTTTTTTCCACCATAACCCGCTGCCCTTGTTGAAATGCCTGTTATATTTTGTGTAAATACTTTGAGAGAAAGTCAGAGTAAACACCAGAGTCAGATTCTTTGTATGTATTCACATACATGGCCAATATGCTGATTCCAAAGTTAATAATAATACATACAAGTAAAATAATTAAAGCAAAAAAGCCAAGTCACTGTAATTTATATAGCACATTTTAAACCACAGCCAAGGTGATTCAAAGGAAGAAACAGAGTGGGATAGTGCAGTCAGCCGACAAATTTAAATATTAACATTAAGAATTTACAGTATTATTTATTATGTAAATTTATCAGAGTAATTTAAATATTAACATTAAATACTTACAGTATTATTTATTATGTAAATTTATCAGAGTACGGTAATTTAAATACTAAGGTTGAGACCCTGCAATATAATTAATTTTCTAGATTTACCAGAGAAATTTAACAGTAAAGGTCAAGACCCCAAAAAACGTAATCAATTGGGAAAATTTATCTGACTCATTTAAATGTTAAGATTAAAATCCCGCAATAATAATTATTGAGTAAATTTACCTGAGTAATTGAAATAACAAGGTCAACACTCTTTAATTATTTATGTAAATAGAAACAAACAATTAAGTTACATATTGAAATTGTGACTAAGCAAGATTAGTATTTATTTAAAGTCACTTGAGTAATTTAAATTAAAGGTGAGAGGTAAAAAATTAAAGGTAAGGCTACAATATTATTAATTATGCAAATTTATAATATTATGCTCAAGACACAATAATTTTATATAAAATACTAATTTAAAAAATTACTACATTTATTTTTTTCTTACATTCCGGTTCTCTAGAATTTTTTTTCTATTAACATATAAAAGCACTGCAGAAGAATTTCACATAGGTTTAGTGACAGAATATTAGTTCGAGCCATTTAGTTCTCCTGGTAGGAAACTACAGATATGGCCGCCAAGTGTTGCGTCACAACCGTCGTGTTTTATTCTGAAACTATTACCGGAACCAAAATATGGCGTCATGTGTAACTTGACGGCGGTATCTGTCAAATAGTCTCCAGGTCTCAGCGTTTCGCTGAAATGCCGGCTGCCGTCAGCCTCACGGGGAATAGCGCTCTTGTCAGTCTACTAGTCTGATGTGTACACAGTTATTCCCGGTTATAATTTGGTGCTTTTAGACGTGACCTTGGGTTAGAGGACTGAACACAACGATTTTTTCCCCCCCTCATTCCAATCGGGAGGGATTTATTCTCTGCAGCACTGCAACGGAATGGGAGCTGAATGAATTGAAACGTGGATACAAGCTTAAGAAGCAGAAACAACAGGAGGAATAGGAGCCTGCGGTAGTCGGATACAATGGCCAGCATGACCTACATACCGAGGAGCTTAATGGACGCATCTCTGCTGTATGGAGACATCAGACAGCCACTGACGGGCTGTTCAACCTTGTAACACAGTCATAAGTGACCTTCATTTTTATTTGCTGCTGCACAACTATGAACAACAAGACACGTGAATGTGAGTGTGACTGAGCAAAGGGTGTCATCCATGCAGTCCTATGCAAAATAAGGGAACATGATCAAACAGGAAGATAAGCTTTGCAATGCTGGCGGTTTTGCTGACCTTTGGATACAACTCCAGGTTCAAAGAAGAAACCAAAAGAAAAAATTAACCAAGCGAGTGGCCTGAGGCTCCTGGATGCTCCCTGACGTTCTCTCTCAGTGCACTGCCTATACTAGCTCTGCTCTTTGGATTAGCCTGCTGCTCATGAGGCCTGTAGTGAAAGTAAGGATCAAAAGTCTAGAAGGAGCCCGGGCTGAATGAACTTCTCGAGCCAGGGCAGTTGTAGCTGTGCCTTATCCACTCACACGCAACAGATTGTACGGTCGTGATTCGTAATTATGCTGTGATCAGCAATAAAATCAACATCTAAGCAATACGAACTGAAGGGATTTGCAAAAAAAAAAAAAACTCTGATCCAACTAGACATTTTTGGCCATCAGCAACAAACATAAACTGTCGGCATTATGCTTCTGAACTGTGGTCAGCCTCTTCTGAGGCACACGGATGTGCCGCCTCGGGTCATAGAAAACTTCATCCTGACTGGATACCGATTCCCAAACTACAGCCTGAGGGACTGCTTATTGTCAGCCTTCAGGCCGACCAACGAAACAGGAAACTTCTGGACTCACTTCCTTCCAGTTTTCATTTTTTTTTACTATTTCGTGGAGGTGTTTGGCTGGGAAGGTGCACCTGATGGCGATGCCCCATTCTTCTATCCGCTGTGGAACTACTTTATTGGGGTGTTCTGTCTGCTCATGGCCAGCAGCATGGCCCACCTGCTGAACTCAATGTCTCTGGTGGTCAGAGAAGTTTGCTTCTTTGTGGATTATGGCACCATCAGCGCGTACACGGTGGGCTCATCATTGGCGTACTACTACTACATCCATCCTCGAGCAGGGATATTGGAGACAGGAGGCCACAACAGCTCCCACATGGACTTGAAACATGAACCTGTAGGGACTCCTACATCCTCCTATGCAATCCCAGAGTTCAGTGTGTTCTTTGACACCTTCTACATCCCGTCTGCTTGTGTTGTAGCCATCATTTGCGTTTTATCTTGCTGCAATACTCGCCAGAGGTGGAGGCGGCATCGGTACATCATCCGAACCTTGGTTTTTCTCCTCCCATTCCTTATCTCCTCCACCCCAGTCTTCTACCGCCTCCTCACCAGGTCGCCTTATTCCACCTCCTCCTCCTCCTTTGCTTCTTCCACCTCCATGCCCAACTTCTTCTATCGCCACTGTCTCTGGCTGCTGGTGTCAGCCGTCTTCAACATCAGCAAGTTCCCCGAGCGGCTCGCCCCGGGTCGCTTTGACATCTGGGGGCACAGCCACCAATGGTTCCATTGCTGCACGTTTTTGTCCATCCTCGATGAACTTCACATGATCAAGGCTGAGGTGAGGGCCATCCTGCTGAGCCCCACTCTGCTGCTGCCGCCCAACACCCTCGCCCGCCTACCTGGACCTACCATCACTTCCACCTACGGAGTGATGCTCCTCCTCCAGACCACCATCATCTCCATCATCATAGGGTTCTCCTGGCGTGCCAACTGCATCTACGGACCCCAAAGAGACCAGCTAGAAAAGGAACACCCCAAGAAACACCTGAAATGTCACTGATCACAGAGACGTCCTTTTTCTATCATCTCAAACTGTGAAGGAAGATTTGCACATGCATACAGAGCCATGCCACAAAGCGAAGCGCACAAAAAAAAACAATATTCCTCTTCTGATTCCAAGTCCCTCATATGTTCCAGCCCTTTTTGGGAGCGTTTTCAAGCTTTCATAAGGGGAAATTGGGGACAACGGGAGATGAAAGGATTATATTCTGAGCTCACCACAGGGTGGCTGTCTGGTTGAGTGGATTTTGAAAGTCCTTGCCAGTTTTTTCCCAGGCATGTTCCAACAGGATGTCTGAACAGTGGGGATAATAACTACCTCTCGGGGCTGAGCACTTGAGGACAGAGGAAAGGTGTTGCTGCTTAGTAGGAGAACTCAACGGTCCATCAAACATCTGGGTAATGTCGCGTAAAAGGCAGTGGGATCATATACAGAAGTTTCTGATGAGTTATCTGCTGTCAGGTCCTTTTTTTTTCTTGCACCTCCCTTCCTCTGACCCTAAACAGTATCTTTTGGATATCCTTTGCTGTGACTTCAGTTGAAGCCATTGTTTCATGCTGAATTGATCTTTTTCTCTGAGCTTTGTTCACCATACCTTCACTTCCTCAGTGTTGCACGAACGGTCACATGCAGTCTCATTTCCTCTCTCTTTGAGACTCTTGCAGCAGGAAGTGCTACAGTCTTGTCGACCACAACAGAAATAGCTGAGAGCTCATATCGGTCTTACAGTACGGCACTTTCAAGGGGGCCAGTCAGACTAGCCCTGTCATTAAAAGCCATGTTCACTTTCAACACTTAAAGGATGCGTAACATTTTGAAGCGTATAATGATGTCCTGCTGACTGTTGGGTTATTTCGATGTGAGCTCTACTCATGGTGCAGTGAATGCATCTGTTGTTTGTGTGGTTTTTCATCACGCTGATGACCAGTTCCGCATGGATTATGTTCACACTGCTTAAAGTGATCTCACTCAGATTAAATGTGACGTGGATCTTATGTTTTCTTCTCAGTATATTGAAAAAAAAAGTACTGTATATTCCTGCCGCACACAGAAGTGGCATTTTCACACCTTTTTTTTGCTTACAACTAATTTTAGTGAAATCTCACAAATATATCCAAGCAGCGGCTCCAGATTGAAGGCCTGCATTGTAAGCATTGATGAAACCAGGGCCTGCTGCTTGCTGAGGATTTTCATGTGTCATGTGATGTACTGCAACCTCTCAGAGCAAAAGCCATAGTTTAGAAAAGTGGTAATTGAAATAAAGACAGAATTGTAGTTCTTTACCACCAGGAACATGCTGGATATATTTGCACTTGACAGACAGATCAGGTTCATCTGGCAGTTTGTACCTCTCAAGTACTACAATTGCATTCGAGTCATTGAGCTGTCATTCCCCTCAAAAAATACATATCTGGCTATCTGTACAGCTTATTTACCCACTGCTCTGTTTTATTTCCAGCCTTCAGATTTTCAGATTCACAATATTTTTTATTTTTTTTTCTTGTGGTGCCCATAAGATTTAAAAAAAAAAAAACGACTTTTTGAGACTTTGTGGGAACCACGATCTACCAACCCTTTAGAACTGTTTTCTGCATCTCTGTCATAGACTGTATATAAAAGATGAACATAGCTTCCAGGTCAGAAGGTGAAACCAATGTGGCGGTGACTTAACCCTGCATTGCTTGTAACGGCCAGCAGGGGGCGACTCTTCTAGTTGCGAAAATAAGTGAGATTGTATAGAAGTAAATGAGAAAACTACTTCACTTCTCACCTAATTTGTTATCTCAGTAACTATTTCTAAATGAGTTTAAAAGTCTCAACCACTAGTTTCACATCTCCTTCAATACAGCATGATGTTCGTTGTGTACATTTTTTGTCCTATTTAGACTAAAACAGATGCTGAAGGCTGTTGCTACCTTGTGATTAGCAGGTTGCTACCGTATGGGACACTGTCCTGGTTGTGTCAGTCCAACCCTCATTTTGTCATGTGGCATTGGTCAGACCACAAACCAATGGGTTACGTCACAGTGGCTACAGCCACCTATTCTAATATGTTATATACAAATTACAGTGTATAAGTACAATTTAAAAAAAAAAAAAAAAACAGTTTCCAAAGTTGTGCACAAGTGTATCAACAAAGGTAATAGTCTGAAATGTCCCTTCTTAGAAAATACATATTTTACTTTTGGTTAAAGGCTGGATGCGAAACAACAAAAGACACAACTTGAATAATGGGTTTTATGGTCCAATATCTTTTCAGCCTTAAGGACAGATTTGTGTTTATTGGCCTTCTTTGTCAGATCATCAGGTATTTATTATTTCAGAGGAATGGATGCATAACTCGAATATAATTGTGGTAAAAAAAAAAGTAAGTTATGAGACTGTGTAGATTAAATGCTAATCTTACTGAAAAAGCTTCAACTTTGAATTGCATGATCCGAGCTTTAGTCTCATTGTTAGCAATTATTCATGTGCTGTATGATCATATTCTATGTCCTGTATGAGTTTCTGATACCGGACCCAAACCTGATGAGCCCCCATTTTGTTGCTTCAAACTCAGGCCAGGTTTTTGGTTTGGTTGTTTTAAGCAGCGTGCCATGTATTCTAAGTAGTTACGGATTGTTTAGAGATGGAAGAAAGAGTAGTGGTAGCTCATGTGGTAAGCAAAGTAATCAATAAAAAAAGGCCAAGATATACCCTTTCTGGCATGTTTAGGGTGTTCCAAATGAAAAGAAAAATAGCTATATTGGATACATACATATGAGCATTACATGATCCACAGAATTCATTGATTTGTTTAGTCTGACCAAACAGTTCTAATGTGTCCCGTTTAGCACATTTAGTTGAGTAGAACTCTGAACCCCTGCTGAGGTGTCCGTGAACACTTTGTGCTGCTGTGCACCAGGGCACCAATGAAGGAGCAGAAAACAGGATTTTCTTCTGAGTTCATTTGCACAGTGAAAACGGACCATGACTGTCAGCGTTTAGGTGGAGATGAATTGGGAGAATGTACGTTTTCTGTGTCGTGTCCTTGCTGATGTTGTCCTGTCATTGGAGCTGCAGCCATTTCAATTGTGGATTGTTGTGTCTATTATGTCTCGATTAATCGATTTGCTCTGTAGAAGTGTTGAAAAATTGTGACAAATGTCCATCAGTGTTTCCAGAATGATAAATGTCTTGTTCTTTTTTTTTTTTCCCCACAACCCAAAGATGTTCAGTTTACTGTCACAGAGGAGTAACAAACCTGAAGCATTCAACTTTAAGAAGCTGGAATCAGAGAATTTGGACTTAAACCCATTAATCAGTTAGAAAACATTTTGATAGTTGACAATTAGTCGATTAATTGTCGCAGCTCTACCTGCCGTGCAGTCTTTCCCTTTAAATTCCAAGCTCTTGCTTGTGCGTCACATGTGTTTTTGATGACATGTTGATGTTGGTCATTGTCTAATTTTAGAAATGATATACTAAAATTTGCACACTTACATGCATTCGTTTGCACACAAGAAAAAGATAAAGAGAGTTGTTAGTTATATGCGACACTGGAATGAGTACAGAAGGACCGTATTGAGTGATTGTCACAATCATACTGTTCATGGTGCACTTTAAAGCTTATTTAAAGCTGTTCCTTTAAGGGTCAGTCCTGCGGTACTGTATTATTTCAACACATTTCAGGTTTATGTTGTGCTTTTTAATGAATAGTCAGAGAGATTCATCAAATAACGATGTTTCTACCTCAATACAGCATCTGTGTCACTCTGTCGCTGAGAAGAACCATCGTTGAAACATGTTCTGTTCCCTCTCTGGACTGTGGCTGTCAGACTTGAATCTATTAATGTTTAAGCAGTGTTCAGTATGTGAATGTTAGACCTATAGACTACTGTATGTTACCTAGTGAAGTACTCAGGGGTGACTGAAAGAACGACTCTAATACATTATTTACACATGCATTTAATTATGAATCACAAGAAGAGGAGGATGATTATAGTACTCTGTGTCTGTCAATGCTGAAAAAATGAAAACCCTCCATTATGTTAACTGATTTATCAAATAGCACTGATGGTATGTATCGTTTGAGTTTAACTGAATAAATTGCACAGAGGTCTGTTATTATTGTGACTGTTCATTCATTTGACTATGTATGGGATTATCATAAATGGTACACTTTTTTATTTTGTGGTATTTTTTAGCTGCACTAAAGTTTGTTGGTCTTTTGGTCCAAATATTTGATCCACAAGCAGTTCCTTGATTACCAAAGATTATGACTACCGCAATTGACTTCCGCCTATATGTAGCTTTAAAAAGAATGGCTGAGATTTAAGTCAGCATCAGCAGTACTTTAAAAAGTAATATAACATAATAGCATGCTACAATAATTTGTTGTAAAAACACATGTCAATATTAAAGAATCATGTGAACAACTGTGTAAAATCATAGACTG